CTATTTATCTGTCTATCCATCTATCCATCTATCTATCTATCTATCTACCTATTTATCTATCTACCTATCTATATATCTATTCATCTATCTATCTATCTATCTATCTTTCTGTCTAACTATCTATCTGTCTATCGATCGATCTATCTATCTAACTATCTCTCTCTCTCTCTATCTCTCTCTCTCTCTCTCGCTCTCGCTCTCTCTGTTTCTGGCTGTCCGTCCGTCTGCCTGTATGCACGTATCTATTTACGACCGTCCGTATTCTGGTCGCTCAGAAGAAGTTCGTTGCCACGAGCTCAGCCCTAAACCCTAAACCCTAAACCCTAAAACTCAACCCTAAACCCTAAACCCTAACCCACTTAACCCTAAAACTCAGGTAAGGGGCCACAACCCGCGGAAACTCTTCGAGTTCCAAGAGGCGTTGTCCTACTCCCAGGGACGCCTGGACATGCCACAGCTCATTGGAGTTCCAGAGCTGCGAAGATCGAGGTGAGATGCAGGGTTTCGGAGATGATTTGGTGAAGCTTTTTTTGCTGCTTCTGTTGTTTTCAAACGAGATTCTGGGCCAGGGCCTTGGGAGGGACTGTAAGGCCATCCTGTGCAATGCCCGGCCTTCTACGAAACCCTGGCCCTAAACCCTTCGCACAGGTAACCCTAAGCCCTCAACCCCAAACACCCCCCTAAAAACCCTAAACCCAAAACCCAAAACCCTAAACCCTAAACCCCAAACACCCCCCTCCCGCCTAAACCCTAGACCCAAAACCCTAAACCCTAAACCCCAAACACCCCCCTCCCCCTCCCTGCAGGTGGTGCGACCACCCAGGACTGCGAGGCATCGCCGAGAGCGCTTTTGGCCGCCGCTGTGAGCAAAGCGTCCTCGGAGCCTTGTGGAACTTCCCGGGCTCGGGTCCACCGGTGTGGCCGCTTTGTGGCATGTGTGTATAAATGTCAATGTAGGTAGGTATGTAGGTAGGTATGTAGGTACGTAGGTATGTAGGTATGTAGGTATGTAGGTATCTATATGTATATATATATATAGAGTTATAATATATATATATACATACATATATATATATGTGTGTATGTATGTATGTATTTGTATAGGTGTGCATATATGTGCACAGACACACATCCACATACGCTGTGTGTAAAGCTAGTTTATGTACTACATACCCATCAGCTTGTTGTTCGATCCACTTTTGTGGCATTGTGCTTTCTGGGTTTTACGTTTCGTGGTTGAGGGCTTCTGTGGTGTTTGCAGGCTCCGGGCTCACGGTTTTGGGGGGATCTGGTTTGGGCTCGTATTCGGGCATCATTCGAAGTTTTGGTGGTCCCGTAGGATACCTGCAGGTGCACATGGGGTAGCTACACCGCTGCCCTTGCGGTTACGGAGCTTGAAGATAATTTTCTTTATCCAAGGGCCGAGCAATAACAGCGTGATAGCCTGAACGGTTTCGATTAAATCGTTAAGCGTCAGCACCCCAAAGCCCTAAACGCTACACAGCGAGTTGCAGTGCACAGTCGCCCCTAAAGCCTGAATGCTGCATTTGGCTAAGGCACAGGGACGGCTTCGACAATCCTCTGCTTGTTGCGGTGACGGCTGCCTGTGACTACCCGCAAACCGTGGGCTTTATCCACAGCCAGCCGATGTCCCACAACGGGGCCCGGTTTTCGGACTCCGAAGGGATGAAGGCGCCAAGCATGCAGCCAGGGTTGTCAGGGAGAGCTGAAGAAGCCTAGAGTCTCTTCTTGTGAAGGCCCTGTGTGTGTATATATATTTTTTTTTGGTGTGTATATATATATAATCCCCCTAGTAGACTAGTCGGCACTCTGAGCCCAAAAAACACGGCTTAAGCCTGATATCTTCAACCCTAAACCCTGAACCCGTAATCCTTTGAAGCCTTATGCCTCAACGCTAAGTCCCTGGGAAGCTGAAGCCCCCAGGCTCCGATCACTTCCAAGGGCGAGGTGGGGGTGCCGCTCCCTCTGAGACGGGGGGAGACCTTGCTCTTCTTCTACACTACGAAGCCCCCGGCTTCGAGAGTAGTCTGTGTATGTATGTATGTATGTATGTATGTATGTATATGCCCTATATATATATACATATACATACATACATACACATATGTTTTTGTCGTTTTTCTTGTTGAGTCTGTTTGAGACACATTCAGATTTGTATTCTTGGATCTGGGCCCGGCCAGGTAAAGCTTGGTAATGTGGATCTTAGAGTTTGCTGCTAACATCCTGTGGGGGCCGGAGATTTTGGTTGAAGATCCCAAACCCGAGACCCCAAACCCTCAACCCTTGCAGCCCCTAAACCCTAAACCCTTGAAGCCCCTAACCCTAAACCCCTGAAGCCCCTAAAACCCGAAACGCCCAACACCCCCCAACAAAAGCAAGAGCCCAAAAGCTCCCCAAACCCGTCAGACATGAAGCGCTAAGTCAGCCCTACTTGGAGGATCATGGGACTTAGGAAGTAAGGTTATAAGTACCTTAATTGGAGTTATAACTAAGATATAACTATAGGTACCTTGTTTATAACCCTAATTACTAAGTCCCATGATCCTCTAAGTAAACCAAGGCATGCTGCGACACCCAACTTGAGCAATCTGGATCGCTGTCTTCTCTACAGCGTCCACGGACCTGTAGGCGTGAGGGATGAGCACAATCACAAGGACCGTGCCGAAGCAACCCTGAAGCTTAGGGTTTAGGGTTTAGGGTTTGGGGTTTAGGGTTTAGGGTTAGGGCTTAGGGTTTAGAATTAGGGTTTAGGGTTTAGGGCTTAGTAGGGGGAGCCTAAACGTGGCAGGTTTGCGGTTGAGGACTTTTAGATCATGGGCACCTCCCCGCTTGGTGAAGTGAACAACTCGAGCCCTAAAGAGACTTCAATCTAGACCCGTAACTCTAGGCAAGAAGCGCAGAATTCTGAAGCCTGACACTGACGCCGGAGCCCAAAAGTAATGCTAGACCCTGAAGCCTAAACGGTGATCCCAAGCCTGAAACCCGGCAGCACAGGGGTTTGGGCGGTAAGAATATCACAGATAAGCATTTTGATTCGTTGTGCAGACCGTAAGCCCTGCAGCCCAAAGCCCGCTCCCTGCAAGGATTTCCTGCCCTCTCTCTTCAAGCTTTCCAAGGAGGAGGCCAAGGATTTGGACGCCTTCTACCGGCACCATCTGGGAATCTAGGTGTTTAGGGTTTTTTTGGCGTGATTTTGTGGGGGTTTATGGACTGTTTTGGATGGCTTTGTTGTATGAAACCCCTAAACCCTAAACCCTATAGGCACTGGGTGGTTTTCGGGCTTGGGACATGGGGCCATGGCCTCAGGGACCCCGAGAAACACCCGGAAAGCCGGAGAAAAGGTGCGAGGGACTCGGCTTTGTGTGAGCCTCTATTTGATAGACGGACGTTCAGGTTTGAGGGCTCAGGGTTTCAGGTCGTAGGGTTGAGGGCTTTTGATGGTTTAAGTTTGGGAGGGTTTAAGGTCAAAGTTAGGGGTTTCAGGGTCTCTGGGATAGCTTTTCCCAGACGCTGCCCCTTCGAAGTCTCTGTTGCTTGCCCAAGCCAAGGGCAAGGTGCTCCCAACCCTGACACTGAATCCCTAAACCTATACCCAAACCCTAGACGCTCGAAGCCGACATCCTAAGCCCTTAACCCTGAAGCCCCATGTAATGACACTCTAAACTTGGCCCTAAACCTTTGTTGTTGTGTTGGCTTGCTCTTCCTACGCTCAATGCTGCCCGGGGTTCAAGGAAGCCCAGAGCAAACGCAAACCTTTCAATGCCACGGTTAAGGTTGAGGCTTTAGGTTTACGGTTTAGGGCTTTGTTTGCAGGGCTTAGGGCTTAGGGTTAGGGTTTGGCGTTCAGGGATACGGGTTTAGGCGCAACTCCCAGCTTCGCGAAAATCGGGTAAATCTGCACCCAACATGGGAGTTTGAGAGAGGAAGGAGGCTCGTTTGTAGAAGCTGAATAATTGGATCCTAATTACAACAATCGAATAAAGGAGACGGAAGTCGCAGATTATCAAAAGCGCCACAGTCCCAGCAACATCTAAGCCCTAAATGGCCGTGAGGCCTGAGACACTCGCTCCACAGAAGCTCCCGCAATCCCACCTCTGCAAGCTCAAGGTAGCCGGAGCCCTCCAGCCCTGAGGTGCAAGAACGAAGTCTCAAAGAGCATAAACCCCAAAGAGCCCAGGAGAACCATTCACTGCGCTTGCTTGCCACTAAATACGAAGTCCCTTCTTTGGTGTTGGTATCTTTACTTTCCCTTCTTCTCTCTCTTTCTCTCTCGCTTTCTCTCTCTTTCTCTATTTTTCTCAGTCTTTCTTTCTCCTTCTCTGTCTCTCTCTTTCTCTCTTTGTGCGCCTCTGTCTGGCTCTGCCACGGCCTGCCTGCAGAATGCTGATCTGGCTCTGACTGGCCCACGGGAGCTTCTGGTTTAGGGTTTAGGGTCTACGACCTTACCCCAGGCTCCCGTGTTCTTAGCACGAAGCAAGGCGTGCGCGCGAAATCCTCATCCTAGATGCTAAGCCCTAAGCTTAAGCCCGAAGCCCTCAACCCTAGACCCTCAACCTTATACCTGCTAAGTAGCGATTAGAGTAACCCTGAAAGGAAGCCTCAAAGAAACCTTAAAGGTTTGCGTGGATCCACTACGAGTATAAGGGTCTGAAGAATTCGAAGTAATTACCTTTCCTTAAAGTCCCTATAGAAACCTGACTCGGAACCCTAAGACCGGACCCACCCCAAATCCTAAACCCTGAAACCCTTAAGTCCTAACACCCCTAGCCCGAAAGCTCTAAATCCTAATCCCAAATCCTTCAACTCCCCAACAAAGAACGCCGAAAAGCCCCCCCCCAAAAAACCGATGCCTTAGAACTCGAAACCACACCCCTAAACCCTAAAAAAAAACCCAAACCCTAAATCTAAACCCCAAGCCCTAAACGCTAAACCCTAAACCCCTAAACCCCTAAACCCCTAAACCCCTAAACCCATAAACCGCTAAACCCCTAAACCCNNCCCTAAACCCTAAACCCCAAAGCCGCGAGTTCCTGCTTGAAGGCACAGACCTTGGGCGCCCTTCGCGATTGCTTCGCACCCAAGCAGCTCCTTAGGACCTCCTCGCCGGTTCTTCAAGAAGGTTTAGAATTCAGGGATTGAAGGTTTTAGACTTCAGGGTTGAAGGTTTAGAATTCAGGATTGAGTGTTGAATTCAGGATTGAAGGGTTTAGAATTCAGTATTGAAGGTTTTAGAATTCAGGATTGGAGGTTTTAAGAATTCAGGATTGAAGGTCTCGGATTCAAGGCTCAGCAGTTTAGGGGTTCTGGCTTTGGTGTAGAGTTCAGGGTTTGGGATCTCGGGTTTAGGATTTCAGGCTGAGGTTGTCCGTTAGAGGGTCCATGCTTTGAGGGAACAACTAAACAGGGATTCTAAAGGTGGAGCTTTATGGTTTAGGGCTTTATGGTTTTAGGGTTTAGGGTTTAGGGTTTTGGGGTTTTTTGCGGGGTTACGAGGTTTTCTAGGGTTCGTAACGGTTTGAGGATTTGGAGTATGTTTTTTTGTTGTAAAAGGGCTTGGTTTTTTTGGGTTTAGACTTATGGGGTTTCTGATCAGACCAGACATGAACATATGGGTAGTTCTCTAAACTAGGGTCCCTTTCGGGGTCTTTTTATAAGGCTGCCGTACTATATTGGGGACCTCAAAAGGGACCCTAATTTAGAGAACTACCCATATGCTGATTGATTGGTTATGACCATCCACAAGGTTCGTTGCTGTAGTACAGGGTTTAGGGTTTAGGGTTTAGGCCCAAACCCTAAACCCTAAACCCCAAACCCTAAAGGTGGACGAAGGGCGCAGGAGAAGCCTCCGAAAGAGCCAGGTAAGATGAGGCCCCCAACAGTTGGAAAGCACTGCAGCCAACCCGTCATCCCTGAACCCTAAACCCCCAAACCCCAAAACGCTAAAACCCTAAACCCTAAACCCCAAAACCCCAAACCCCTAAACCCTTGCGGTTTTTTTTGGGTTTAGGGTGTCGGGCTTAGGGGTTTTTAGTTCCTTCAACCCTGAACCCTAAACCCCCCTCTTCTCAGGAGCATGCGGCGGGTGCCTCGGGCGGATCCCCGCTTGAAGGACTGCAAATGGTAGGTGTTTAGGGTTTAGGGTTCGGGGTTTAAGGTTTAAGGTTTAGGGTTTAGGGTTTAGGGTTTAGGGCTTAGGGTTTAGGGTTTAGGGCTTACGGCTTAGGGTTTAGGGCTTACGGCTTAGGGCTTAGGGTTTAGGGTTTAGGGGGGCGGGGTTCCGAGCAGGTGCGAGCTATGGCCGAGCGGGGTTCAATCCTCTGTAATGATGCCAATATAGGGGCCTTGATGAATAATCAGAAGAAGGTTTTGGGCCCTTCAGTGTACAAATATATTAAGGAACCTTCAGGAGCAAGATTGGTAATTATTCCGGCCCCTACATTAGTTGCGTCAATTATTGCGACAGGAAGAACGATGATGAGCAGTAGTGCTACAGTACTGGCAACACTAGTTAGTAACAGCAGAGCGATGGCAATCTCAGGAAGGACCGTCAGAGTAGCAGCCATCATGCCATAACAAGACTGGACGGGTCGAAGGATGTCTTTCCCTCCGAAGGGCGTGTCTGTGGCTCTGCCGTTTTCGGAGTTGCCGGGGAGGACGGTTCTCTATGAGTTGCAGTAAGACTGTACGGGTTCCTATAAGAGGTACTACAAGGGTTGCAACAAGGATCATTGCAAGGGCTCCGATGAGGGTTGGGTTCGCAAGGGAGGTCGCTTGATGCGAAATATGCCGGAATATCAGCTACTGCGCCAAAAGACACTGTTTTGCCGCGCTGAAGCATGTCAGACCCTAAGTTGCCGAGCAAGCAGCCTTCTCGGTGAGGTCAAGCGGGTTTAGGGTTTAGGGTAGAGTTTAGGGTTTGCTTCAAACAAGACGTCATCACGATGTTCATCAGAACTACGAGCTTGGCATCAGTTGTAAAGCAAACACTCACGCTGAAGTTCTTCTTGAAGACTGAGGCAGAAAATGAGGGGTCCTCGGTCACAACTACTAGGTAAAAAAGCCCGGTAATGGCCTTGTGCGTCCAATAGGAATGTCAATAGCAATCATAAACTATTGCTAACAATTCCTAACAATTCAGAACAATCATGCTATTCAGAGTCGGTCAATAAAGGAGTCTGTAGCCAAATCAACAAAGAGATGAATACATACATACACACATGCTGTGCATGCATGCACACATAATTGCATGCATGCATGCATGCATGCATACATACATATGTACATATATATATACACATACATTCATACATACAAACAGACATGCATGCCCACGTGCATACATACATACATACATACATACATACATACATACATACACACAAACATACATACATACATACATACATACATACATACGAATACACATATATATGTATACACATACATTCATGCATACACACATACCTGCATGCCCACATACATACATACATACATACATACATGCATGTGTGCATGCATGCATACAGTCATACATACACACATACATGCATGCCCACATACGTACATACGTACATACATGCATGCATGCATGCAGTCATACATACACACATACATGCATGCCCACATACATACATCCGTACATACATGCATGCATGCATGCATGCATACATACATACATGCATACATGCATACCTACAATGTATGTGTGTATGTGTGTGTTTCTAGCTTTATGTATATGTATATGTAACTGTATATATGTATATGTGTATGTACATGCATGTGTGTATGTATATGTATAGGAAATAGGAAATGTTCTTTTATGGCTGTATATGTCTTTGTATATGTCTTTGTATATGTATACGTCTATGTATATGTATACGGTATGCGTGTACATAGATATGTGTATACAGATAAATATATATATATGTGTGTGTGTATGTATGTATCTATGCATGCATGCATGTATGTATACACACACCATGATATATATATATACACACATCTTTATATATAAGGAGACACACATCTACCCACATATTTATATGCATGCATGCATGCATGCATGTATGTAGGTAGGTATGCATGTATGTATGTGTGTATGCAGTTAGACGTTTCAATGGAGTTTTATATGTATGTATCTATGTATGTATATATAATATACGCACAT